TTTTTGCTGTAAACAATTCCCCGCTCGCCGCGTCTCGCGCTAGGCAACCGCGTTCGATGGACGGTCGCGCGCTAGTATTGGCGGTGGGCCGGACTCGCCGAACGAATACTCGCTCATTCGGCGATATTCAAAAATTAAATTCTTGTTAAATATTGCGAATTTTGCAAAATGGTAGAGAACTTTTTGATTCAGTTTAGTCCATTCTATCTACCCATGAGCGGTCATACACCTATTCTGAGACACCCTGTATATACATATATATACAGAGTGTCTCCGTATAAATAGCAAATAACTAATAGAGATAGACTTAATAAATATAATATCAAATTAAACGGCTCTGACTAAACTTTATTGTAAGCACAGTGATCACTTAGAAATATTATCTGTGTTAGAGAGCGAAAAGACATGATTAATTTTTACACGGTAAGGTGACAATTTTAATATGATAAAAGTTGTAGCATTCTTTTTAACAAATACAACGATGTATGATACAACGAAATTATTTACAAATTATAAGAGTTATTTTGGTTTAAAATTTTGCGGGTAGCAACTACCTTTTCAATTTCTGCTCTGCGATGTGGCCAACTTCCGACTCTTGCACTAACGAGAATACTATGATCAGATAAAAACATTACACGTCAATTGTCAACGCAAAAATCAGAAGTTGGCCACATCGCAGGGCCGAAATTGAAAAGGTAGTATAGCTGCCTGCAAAATTTTAAACCAAAATAACTCTTATAATTCGTAAAGTAATTTCGTTATATCATACACCGTTGTATCCGTTAAAAAGAACGCTACAACTTTTATCATATTAAAATTGTCACTTTATCGTGCAAAAATTAATCATGTCTTTCCGCTCTCTAACATAGGTAATATTTCTAAGTGAACACTGTGCTTACAACAAAGTTTAGTCAGAGCCGTTTAATTTTATATTACATTTATTAGGTCTATCTCTGTTAATTTACGAGATAAAAAGGGGTGGCCACTTATACGGGGACACCTTGTATAGACGTGCACGCGCATAGAGATTTATTTCATGCAATTAAAATTGAAGAAATGTTTAGTCAGAAGAATAGAATTAAATTACTTTTGTCTGCATGAAGATTATATTTTGCTTGCGAAAGCAATTTTCGAGAATTCGGAACATTATTCTTTTCTGTTTGATAAAATGTCAAAGAAAAGCGCTCCATTATAAAGAAAGAAATCCTTACTTCATCCTTTGTGCCGAAACGCCGATGTTAGAGAAGCCGTTGAGCTAATGTCTCTCTTGACATGTCTTGAGACCTGGTTGTATGCTCTTCTGCACGCGGATCGTGGGCAATAACCGCGATCGAAACCGCGCGCATTTGAATCGCACGTCGTTCATCCGAGGATAATGTTTTCCGTTGCCATAAAAACGAAACGTTTCCACAGACTGACGCACGACTGTTGTGGAGCACGCATCAGTGCGTACGCATAACTGCTCATATAAAGCTGCTTTTTACAACGGCGATTGTGGGTAGAGGCCATAAAGAGGTCCGCGCCGCGCGATTTCAGTTAGACATTCTCAACTATTCCGCCGGCTCTATTACGGTCGAACGGTATCGCGTAAACGCTGAAACTTTAACCAACCGGTTTTCTGTGCATAGTCGGTCGCAACACATTCTGATCAACAATGTCACCAATTTGGCCGAATAATTGAAACGCGTGACTCGCGCTATCGAAACGACGAGCGTATTCCGTTCCGTTGCGAATTTTGTCGGCAATTTTTATCATCGACTTCACAATGAAAAAACATATTTAGAAACAAAACCAGTTATATCGTGTTTTCGGCTAAAAAAGCTCAATGAAAAAAAAAGAATATAAAAAAAGAAAAATGATTCGTTAATATTTTTATAGTGCTGATTGTATTGTGTACGTAATATTTAAAAATATTTTAAGTAATTATTTTATTTATGTTTTTTATCTTTGTTTAAAGGTTTTTAAGCACTTTAAAAATAATTTCCAACATCTGCAAATTCAATTAAATTGAGATTATTGTTTAAAAGAGCAAATGGATAATTTGAAATGTATTCGTAAATATATTTATATAATATTTCCGAGAAATTGATATCGAAGCTTTTTGATTTCTATCATAATTTAATTTAAATCTATTTATTCAGAAAATTCGATTAATGTCAATCATAATCATTAAACGTTATTGTAAAAGAAAAAAGAATTTTTAATTCCTCGATTTTGCCTCTCAATTCAATTCAATTCGTTTTTTTTTTGTTAAGAGAAGCGTAAATAAATTTAAAGATATCGTTTGTAACAAGTACGCTTTTATAATTACCTAATGCCAATCGAATTTGATCACATCGTAGTGAAGCAGTTTAACTTCCATCGATTTACCCAGCTTTTGCGCATCTGTGGAGTACCCGAAATGTAACGAAACGGAGTGCGATTGAGAGGCGAGAAAGGGAAGGAGATTCTTCTACCTCAGTGTCTCCCAATTTAATTTAGCTGCAAACCTCTTCGGAATCCGAAGAAAAGTTGCGAAAGGTCTAATCTTACGCTTTTATGTAAAGTTGCAAAATTACATCTGAAACAAGTAATTGCGACGACAATCAAATAAGTTAGAGATTGCGACTTCGACAGTCAGATCCAACTGATAAAGAAATGGTTCAAGTAGAAGATAAGATTAAAAAAGTATCGTGTTGTATAATATATTGAGCTGTGTATACTTTCAGCCTTTTATTTATTGCTAAAAATTTATCGACTTGATTGTCTTCGGTGCAATTTTATATTTACAATTTTCAAAACATTTTTGTTTCTCGATAATTCCCTCTTATGTTGATGATTTTACGAAATATTTGGGAAACACTGTTCAAGTTGAATCGGAATTGCGGTTCGACGGAGTAATTGGACAAACGAGATGCTCGGCGGAAGAGTGGCCGGTGTGTCCGATGTATTTTGAAGCAGGAAATAAACGCGAGTTCTTCGGGACTTGCAAAACTCGCCGGACGCGTATATTCGTGCCCGAGCGAAACGGCTAAGTTCGTTTATGTGGGACACCAACTAGAGCAAGAAAAGCTTCAATTCTCGCTTCTCATTTTTGCAAGCGAAGCAGTCTTCATTCAAACGCCTGGAAAATACAACGGAATTATATGTTTTGCAATATTAATCGATTTAAAATAAAGGATAATTTTCATGTCATGAAAAAATTTATAAAACCTTTAAAAAAATTTTATTAACTATTGTGAACTTTTTTCTTTATGATCATGTTGTCTTATTTGTCTAATTATAAATTATCATAAATTTTCTCATTTAAAAAGTCAATGAAACAAAAATCATATAACTAAAAGAAAGGATAAAAAGAAAGTTTCGAAATTTTACCATTAATTTAGTATGATACAATATACAAATGAACAATTTGTCATCACGTTGTACATCCTATTCACTTTGTAATTTAACGAAAATGTTTTATATTAAAAAATGTTGCTGTCAAGAGCTTATCATCGTGAGAAGATATGAACACGAGATGTCTTCAACGTGGCTTGAATGAAATAAGCATGGTCATCCAAAATTCGACAATAGTATCGCTACTTTCGTATATATCATAGAATGTGTATCACGTGATATTCATTTTGGAGTTCCACAGAGGATGACGAATGTCTTCTTCTCAAGCAGATCCTATGTGTAGGAAAAGAATTTATTCCTTGGATAGATTAACTCTCAAGCTCAGATTTTAATCTTAGAAGAAAATTGAAATAGAAATTATTTAAATTTAAGTTGAATTCAAAATACGATGAAATGAATAGTTTCAAATATATGGAGCGTCTCGTACCTAAAGTGTTTGTTTATGATTTTTTTCGGGCACAAAGTCGATGTATTCGCGAATCTATGCGAATTAATTCAATTAATTGTGACTTGAACGCACAATGATTTCTGTATGATTACTTACAAAGTCTCTCTGTAACCTTTTGGCTCAAATCCGGATATTGAACACGTGTCGCGCACATTTGTCTAAGAATCCTCGCAGCTGCGATCTATGCATTGCAGCTGGCGTACCGTTAAAAGTAGTCTCATTAAAACTTAATAAGTACCATAAAACACGAGCGCCCATGTGCCCCTGGGGCCAATTATTATGTGGAATCCTTTATGTACGATCGATTTATTATTTCTCCGTTCTCCAGTAAACAAAGTTATTAGTTACGCGACGATAAACATGGAGCTAGCTAATGGAAGGTAAATAGGAACTTTTACGCATTAAAAGATAACCTAATTAACGATGCCTACGAATTTTTAAAAATACATGAAATAAAGATTTTTATTTCTGCAGAAAAATTGATAGTTATTCAGCTGCAAACTTGTAAATTCTTTTCAGATTTACGCTGGTATAATAAAGTCTTACGTCATGGATATTTCATATTATTTTATATGGAAAAAGTGCAAGAAATGAAAACAAAATCTTCTTTTCTTTCTCTTAACTAATTCATATACGTGAAAATTGCAGCATAGAAAACATTGAGACATACGTGTAGGCGTGCAGGCTGTGCGCAAGCACTGGTTAAAGTGTTTTCTTCGCAGTTTCTCAACGAGCTTTTCGCGAGACACTTGACGTCTTAATGCTTTCACGAAGAGCAGCGCGACGTAAAGTTCTTAATGAACATAATGTACCTACATAACGTACATAAAGCAAAACTTGGCGAGCTTATATAATTTGCGGCCGTGAGATGCAGTCATTGAAAATGTAGCTTGAAACAAGGACAAGTGTGCAAAAGATAGCCACGGCGCAAAGAGAGCATGCCGCAACTTTGCTCGGTAGAAATAATGACATTTGACTGACTATAAAGAAATGTCAACCTATATTTAACCGCGGTCTGAAAATACGATAAGAGCCACGCTATCGTAAAGTTCTGAAAATAATTTTATTAATTAAAATCTGCGTATGTATGCGTGTATTCATAAACCAAATGCGCCTGAATATTTAACATTAGATGTAAAAATATTTTTTGTACATGTGAAGATATAGTCGCGTTTCGATAGATTGCAATTTCGATATTCCGTTAATGAAACGTTGGCGGATCGTAATGATCAAAACAGTTGCCTCTTACATCTGTAATACTGATACGGGTAAACGTTTTGCATTTGCGGTCAACGAATTTACATAAAAGACATTTCAGAAAAGTCTTGCGCGAACGAGCTTGCGGTATCACTCAAGGCAAGTCGGAGGCTTCGCGATTAATCCGCTAAGAGCTACGACGGTTGTGCTTGCCACCCGAGCGGAAGAATGCTTCTTGCTTATGCCAATCGGCATTGACTGTTGGCATTCCGGAGAAATGGGTCAGACTGAAGAGCAACGGCCCGGCAATCTGGGGGAGTGCGTTTATCTCGATCGCGATAATTTATCACCATAAATTCAGGCGGAGGGCGAGGAGATAGCGTGACGTTTTTGCGACGCCGTGGTACACGTTACTCGAGGATGGCGCGGAATTCATTTAAGCGAATCGTGAACTTCTTGGAATACCTCGAATTAGTCGCCCGGCACGTCAGGTCCAAATTGACGCGCGAGATATTGAAAAGGGATTGCATTGTTATGCGACGTGTGACATGATTAGCATATGATATTCGTCAAACAAATCAAATTTGTACTGGAATGTCAAACCTGAGAAAGAATTTTATTAGAATTGCTAAAGATCTACTTTTATCGGTAAAACTGTAGAAGATACCAAAAGATTTTCCGAACGATTATTTATTATTAACGAGAATAAAACTTAATTAGTTATTAGAATAATTTATTAAAGCATACAAATTAGTAAAAATTATTAATCTTCTGAAAAAAATTTTTTGGATTTTATTCCGAGGATAGGTTTTGAAATATTTAAGCAATTACATTTTACATTTTCTTAGAACATTGCTTAGGAAGACTATTGGAGAAATTAATTTAAAATAACTTGCTCCAGTAATTCTCTTTTTTTTTACTTCTTTTAGGTAGAAGTTGCTAAATATGCTTAAAATACAAAAATATGTGTCCATTATCGAATTGGCGGAACCACTGCTGCGTGAATATTTTAGATGGTCCCTCGTTGGAATTCGAGAAATGTTCGTAAATCAGTTCAGGTACATCCTGTCGGACCTATCGTGCCAGGACGACGAGAATCGTGGCACGCCACGGGAGGCTCGACCCATTAACTTAGAAATATATAAGATCACGGAAGCATATCACGGAGTCGGAAAGTTATGCGATAGTGGCCGCTCACGAAGGCGCACATGCCGTCGGGAAGTTAAATTACGCGGTGGATCCTCGACTTTTATGTCCGGGCTCGATGAGAATTCTTTTATGTGCGAATACAAGACTCGGCGATATCGCTGCTGGTTAGGCTCGCGATCACGAAGACTCGGGACGAAGAATAAAGATTCACCCGTGAAATTCTCATCTAGATCTCGATTTTTCATGCGTTTCACGAATAATTTTATAAACTAAAGGTCAGTTGAGACATATAATGCTTTCGCGCTTTGTCCATTTGACACAATGCGCAAAATGCATTATAAACGCTATTAAATTAAAGAGTTTTATTTATTATGATTTATAACAGATAATGGCCTTTTAGAGAGGTAACATGAGTTACATTTATTATATTTACAATGAACTCTATTTACTTATCGATTGTTTAATATCAACATTTATTACGAGCAATTATAAATATATTATTACTGTTATTTATGAAAGTACAGGAAATATCACAAGAGTTATTATTTTAATTATGTTCTAAATATTTATATATGTTTATAATAATACAGTTTTTTTACATACCGTTTTTTATGTCAACGCACGTTTATCATTTTACATATATTATATTTATATAACCGAAATATTTGTTAAATATATATATATATATATATATATATATATATAATTTTTTATTGCTGTCCATTAATCTTTCATAAAAATTATTGCACAATAATTATTATACCGCGCCGATTTCCACTAGCCGATGATGACGAAGATATATTTCAAATATTGATTATTTCTGGGAATCTTAATTGTTAATCATATATTTACGTATCTATAATTTTAGAGTTGTGTAAATTTTGTGTGTGTGTTTGTGTGTGAAGCGTTATGACCTACAAACGTCACTTTTTCTCACACCTGCATCAAATATCATGTCGTAATTACTATTATCGGCATAAACTCAAGCTCGTGTAAATCCACCAGAACGAAATTCGATTTTCGCAGTAGCCTCCGATGATACTTTACGGTATTAATTAATATCTAATGGCGCAATATCGGCACGTAATCCGCTCAACAATATTGTACAAAGGTATTACCGTGGCCCACGGTCCACGGTCACGTTTCGGTATACCGTTGGCTAAACTTAGTGGACACGACGCAGAACGTTTCTTCGGCGGCTAAAGGATCCGTCGTTAATTGCTTGCGCGCTGGTACTACGTTTCACGCGGCTCCGTAGCTGCCGTCCTTAATTTTACATTACGTAACTTTATATAACACCGGGGCGATGGAACACATCGGGTATTATTCACGACGTTCTAAAGTGCGGAGTGCTATGTAAACGGCCGGAGTAAAGAGCCGTATGCTACCGAGGGGTGAATAAACCGCCATATTGTATCTCTCTACTATTTGCTAAACGTGAGTGAAACAGTGTAATGGCCGTTAAGCTTTCTTTCGTGCTTGATTAACTTGGAGAGCTGGGAATTGGCGGTTGTACGGCTTCAAATTGCTCGAATAACTTGCCTGTGAACTCTGTTCTTCGGCGTTAACGCCGCCGCGCCGCCGCGCCGGTTAGCCCATGGACCGCGCGCGCTTACGTATTTACATTTTAACTTGTGGATCATAACTTTCTCTTCTTCAGTCTAACTCACGATTCTGCCCCTGTTCTAAGATTTCTGAAGAGCGATTTTGTCTCTGTTAGTATTACCTTATTCCCTTGACACGTGCATCCCTTTTATGAACGTAAACGTAAGAAACGTAGTCATCTCCGCTCCACACAAATCGTTTTATTGAATAGTTTTATTCAAGAGTCGCATAGATATATAATTTAATTTTGCGGAAAACCGCACGGTGATTTTGACAGGAAGAGAATACGCATTTTTATTAACATAATCGCTACTTCACGTCTTGGATAACTTTGCAATAACTTTACAAAGATTCATTTGTATCGACGAAAGATTATATTGGCTTTTCGAACAGTCGACAGTTTTTTTGCACTCAAACTCACGTATATCCATTTATCCTCAGTCTTTGCGTTACGACGTCTCTAGAGGCAGATTGCAGGATATTACTTCGCTTGACTTCGTGATCTCCCTTTACTCCACCCCGCTTAACGTGTAATTCGTGAGTTCCAACTGCGCCTGAAAGGAACGCAAAGGCTCATTTCGTTCCGGACGCTGTCGGGCAGCCTGAAGTAGCGGCGCATTTCGCTATCCCCGATGCCGGTATTACACGTCAGGTCAGACGTTACAGATGGGCAATTAAAGTGTTACAACCTACCCCCCGCGAAGTGCTTAGCATCAGCGGGGGATGCGCCGCTGTTTGCTATAACGCTGGCCGTTCCTTTTTTTTTCTCGCGCAATTCAACAGCGTTATCAGCGAGCTATTTAAACTTCGATCGATGCGAAAATCCAATTGAGGATTTAAGAATCTTGTAAAATTGATTAACTCGCCCTCGTAGCTGCACAAGACGGCAGCCAGATATTTTAACCGATCTAATCGCTATACTGTCGCTTTCAATGTAAGGGACATCGGTCTCCTGACGCTCGAAGAACGAACCTTATCCGAAGTTGTTATCTCCCCGTTTCGTGACAACGCGTCGCGTTTGTCTGCGAAGAAGAAGCGTGTAAATGCAGGTAAATACAATTACCTTGTTCCATCGAGGACCTGCATAAAATTAACAAACAGATTGACGGATCACTATAAATGATTTCCTTCTCCCGGTGATTTCCTCGTTACTCCCGGTCGGCCGACGCCAAGTGCCGCGGCACGCGAAACGGTAGGGTGTATGCACATCAGTCAAGAGTCATGACGTGCAGCCGGCAACAAGCGTGCAATTACTCGAAGAAACAAGAAAGTGTTTCGGTCTATTGGGCGTAAAATGCGACAGGAGTGGGGGGGGAGGGAGGTGGAGAGGGGGGAGTGTAAGAGTTTAAAGAGAAGCGGCACCGACTCTCGATTAGAGTGAACGCCGCGCGTTCGCACGGGCAAATAAACGGTTAAATTATACATTGTTAAACGACGGACAGACTGAAACGGCGCGCGGTGGTGGTGGTCTATTTTTTGAAGGTGGTTGTGCGCGCGGAGGAAGAAGAAAGCCCCTTGAATAAAACATATCTACCGCCGGGCATGTCCCGGAGTCTCTCTACTCATCCCTTCGTCCTCCCCCTCCCCCTCCTATCCCCCCGCTCTACATCTTCTTCTCCGCGTCCTCTTTTTTCATCCGTCCTACCGTTAAACATCCGTCTGTCCTCGGCGAGGTCATTCGGGCGACGCCGCATAATAGCCGACCCGTTGACGGTAATAAAGTAAACGTGTTGCGCCCGAGAAACTTCGCGAATGAAGTTTAAGTGGTCGGAGGAAGTGACCAAAAGTGCGGCATTCTCTGAGAGGGAGAGAGAGAGAGAGAGAGAGAGAGTCATTGGTACTCAATTTACGCAAGATCATTTAACTTTCTTAAACAAGAGCGAGAGGAAATTTGAATTGCCTCGAGCATGAAATAAAATCGGTTTTGACGGCTGATATATAGGCACTTACGATTGCATTGAATTTCGCCGGACCGCGTTGATGAATGTGAAGTTATAACGAGCGCTCGTTTTTGCCCCGAGCCGCGTTCATTCATAAAAATGATTCATCAATAATTCTACCGACAAACATCGCTTGATCAATTTTTTTTCTCCCCCCCAGGCTCCGACAGCAAGGTGTCGGACGTTGACGGACAGCCCTACACGACGTTGCTCTACAGCAACGGCCCGGGTTACGTGCACCCGCGGAATATCCTGCGAGAGGCTGGGAAAGATTCCATTCAGGTAAGGGAGGCCCATTCTCATTTCCGTACGCGCGGAAGGTAGTTCGCCAGTGTTTATTGGATCGGAGAATGATTGAGTGGCGAAATCGAGACCGCGCTCGAAAATCCATCACGTACCATCGCTGTTCCATCGTGAAATATTCTGCCAAACACTTCCGACTGCCTAGCCTCAACCATTTCCTCGAGTATCCTGGAATACCGCGTTCGATGGGCGCTAGGAATTTTTAATCTTGCCGTAAAATTAATGAAGGGACTACACGGTCGAGCATGAGGCAAATTTAATTTTAAAACATATAAAAAAGATATACATAACGATAGTGTGTAATAATATTCTTAGTAATGCATAAAAATAGCATTATTAAAATAATAATTACATTTAAATCTTTCTAAAATATTGTAATTATGTATATATATATTTTTTCCAATAATAACTTGTACAACTGTATTTACTGAATTTGGAAACCTTAAAATAATTGTTTAAAATTGAAGGTCTCCACATTCAGTAAATACAGTTGTACAAGTTATTATTGGAAAAGGTGATAAAAAAGTACACTTGGTAGAGATGGATAAGTATAAATATTAAATTAGCATACATATCATTTCAGTTGAAAAGAGGTAGCAACATGTAAAAAGTTATAAATATATAAATGTATAATGTATAAAATAGGTAGCAATGTGTTAAAATATAAAATATCAATCTAAATAATTAATTAATGGAGAATAATTATCCTCCTTGATTAATATTCGTCAATATTAATGCTGAGGTACAATAATATGTCATAAACGTGACTTCTTAAGAATATTTTTTCAATTGTTATATTTAAATATCAGGAGATACAGTGTAAAGATAACTGCACATTAGAAATGGAAGAATATCGAAATATTTATTAGTGCTTTCTATTTATATTAATATACAATATATATATACAGGGTGACCAATAAGAATATGTTAAGAGTAAATGGTTATTACTTCACAACAAATAGATCGAACGAAATGAATAAAACGCCATTTTATAGAAAAAACTTGTCAATTTTATTACCATATATATGAAAGAGTATTTACGCGCTTTTGGTCGCGTGTCACTAAATTTTAGAAATTTAGAAATCTGGAGAGGCTGTATGGTTATGCCGAAATAACGAGACAGTTATTTCGCGCAAAACTTTATTGCACACTCGCTCGCGCGGCGAAGTCCGCTATTCGAGTAAGTCCCACGATTTACAGAAGTCTCGATTTCCTTTTACAATATCTGAACCGGATATACCATTCGGGCATTGTATTCGAATATTGTTCTCGGGGATGTTCTTGATTCACTGGCCCGCTTCGATGTCGACGCGAAACTCGCGGCCTAAATTTTATTATCGCTCTCCTCGCAGGGGGTGATTTCGCGACAAATCAGATGTCTGATAATAAAATTGACAAGTTTTCTTTGTAAAATGGTGTTTCATTCATTTCGTTTGATCTATTTGTTGCGAAGTAATAACCATTTACATTCAATACATTTTCATTAGTCACCCTGTATATACTTATATAATAAACATATAATATATATAAAGCATATACATATATGTATTATGTTACAACATACGTTATTAGAAATATTCGAACTCTTGAAATACGATTGGAATCTTACCTGACCTGATGTATAATCAAGATATATACACATATTACATGCATATGTACATGTTAGAGAATACGAATTTAAGGTTTTTTGAAGCCTTAAATCGAATCAAATCGATTTAGATTTAATTAAATTATTGAAACATAATTATTGTTAAGTTGAATTTTAATATAAAAATAATAAAAAATTTTTCATGTAATAGAGGTAATATTGTTTACTTGATATAATGTTTTACTTATCAATGAATATAATTTTAAACGATTGTCAATATATGTAATTTATATTCCAAGTTTCAATTCCTCAAATTTGAAATTTTTAAATAGTTCGAATATGAATCATGGAGGTTTCAATCCGAATCGATTCGAACGAAGTAAGATTCCAATCGTATTCCAATAGTTCATACATTTCTAGTACTTAAATATGTTATAACATAATACATATACATGCTTTGTATTATATTATGTATATTGACATATAACAATATAATATATAACGATATTCTCGATAGTACTGTCAATTTTTTATCACCTCTACTGTGTAAATTATTATTACGTTAATTATTAATAATGTCTGGGATGACGCGTAGCTCTGACTGAAAACAATTGACTTACAATTAGTAGTAGACCGGTTTCAGGTTCAAATCCCGGGACTGTCATCCCACATATGATTGGTGACCCATTTCGGGAATCCTTAATTTCATTATTTCCTGTAGGAAAACAGAAGTCTGATGTTTCTGACAAGCCATAAAAAAATATGTGATATAAGAATGCATATTTTACGAAAACATTTAAAAACTCAAATGTCTTAATCTTTGAATATGTAAACTTATTGAGTAACACATTTCAAGACAAAGACATTTGAGATTTTAAATGTTTTTGTTGAATATGCATTCTTATATTATGTTTTTTTTTCCATTTATCAAAAATGTCTTCTGTGGTTTTTCTGGTTCATAAACTGGTTTTTGTCTTGTATGTTTATTATAACAATGTAATGAACAATAGTAAAATTCAAATTTCAATTGTTCTTCAGACGACACAATTACGTGAGAGGCCACTACAGTATTAGGAATCCAGTCCGTAATCTTTCTTATATATGACGATCAAAGCTAGCACTTTCACAAACAGAGCAATAAGTCATTTTATCGAGATATTCAGTGGAATTGGTATTTCTGTTTCATCACATTCTAGTTTATAAAAAGAATTGCAATTATTATTTTGATTTTTGTACTGTATACTTTGTGGGATAAAGTGTATGAACAAGAAGTAAAACAACAGAAGTACAAAGAAGAAACCAACCTTTCATTTTTTATCTTGCTAGCCGACAATTCAACAAGACTTGGCATATTTAAATTACTAATGCAACAAATCTTAGTGTTTGAAAACGAATTTCTTGAAGCATTTACATAGTATGGTAAGTCCATTTTGCTAACACTTCCTGGTAAATATGACAATAGTTGTTGTTTGATATATTTAAAAAAAAAAAGATACTTGAGATTTTTAATACTTTGTAATAAATATGTTTACTTGTTACTGAAAATATCTAACATTATTAACATATTTAGATTCGTGGTTTGTACTGGTAATTTGATTAATTGTAAATAATAATAATTATAACAATAGTAGTGATTAAGAATTTTTTTATAAACGATATAAATTTATTTTTATCATTCTAATTTGCCATTTAATCTTGTAATGGACATAATGTCGGGAGTAATAGAACTTACCGAATTCTAACTCGCACACATACAAATTTAGATAAAATAAATTGTTTTCAAAATGAGGTTTCTTTAATATTAATTAAATAAAATTTAATTTTGTACAAAATTATATTTTAATTACTTGATAGAAGAGATTGCAAGTATATGCAAATATTGGGAATTATTTTTGCAAAATATTTGATTTTATTAAATTTTTCTACGATGAAATTCATTTTTCTTGTTTTCGTAATTTCCATCGATAAATAATAACTTTTCAAATATTTAAATGTGTGCTGAATGAATGGCGCATAAAGAGAAATTTCAAATGTGACACCTGTCCATTTATAGAAAGTGCAACACAAAGATATGCGCCGACTGTTTCATTTATCGTCATGTATTATGTGTACTTTATTTATATATTTTATTTATGAGAATTTTATTTGCGTTCGTTCAATTAATTTAATTTAATTTCCTTCGCTAACATAGCTTTTCGATAGAATTTGTATTTATCTTTCGATCGTGTTTATGTTACAACCCGTGAACGCGCGTACTCCCCCTCCCCCCCCCACGGCTTTACAGCATTTCACATATCATGTGTTTGCACGGAGATTTGAATTTATACTAATCTGTAAACAAAAATGTTTCGCCGTGTGCCTCACAACGATCCGCGATTTCTCACGTATTCCGTTGAGTTTTATATCATTTTGAATTTACAACATATCGAGCGGAGACATTTCGGCATCCGCTGAATATTTACGTTATACGGATATATTATTTGACGTCGCTGACAGGTTGCATCGCGGAACATGGGGTAGATCATCCCGCGCTTTTATTCGCACTTCGCTTTACATTATCATGCCGAACACGTGCATATACAGCTGGTAATTTAATCTTCGATAGGTGCGGATATTAACAAATTTTATGCGCAAATTCGGTGTGCGTCGTGTATAATTACGATTTTACTACTTTATTTAAACGTAATATACCGTACCACTGTGCCATTACGGGACTAATGTAAATTAATCTCGATTAATTACAGAGAATTAGAGAACGAGATCACCTGTAATATATTAGGGATATACATTTCCTTCAACCGTATAAATTTTCTTCTTTACGAAACACCCCGTTACATGGCTGTTTGAATTATTGTAGATTAGTGTGGTGCCTCGAGATGAAGAAGCTATACAAAATCTTCTCAATTAATTCAAAGTGATTTTAATTGAATTTTTAATCGGCAAGTCATTTAATGTTAAAAAGAAAAGATAAAGGCCTTTCTCGTGTACTCCGCCCGGTCAGTCAGGCCAGTTATCGCGTGTCTGCAATATTAAACTTCCAATTGTTGAGATTACAAAGTAACAATTCGCAATCTTTTCGCCCGCGGTACTCACGGAATGCATTGAGAAAAATTCATTCTAAAGTTATAAAGGTATCATCTGGCGGTGTGACTCTCTGAGCATGATTATTCAATTCCTCGGAATGCTCCGTCAGAGTGAATCGTCATAAGCGGTAAGTGGCCGGGGAAGAAACTGATTAAAATCTGAATGGCTATTGGGGCGATAAATTACACCGACCTGCCTGTCCTTTCTCTCTCTCTCTCTCTTTCTTTCTCTCATACCGACGATCCTTATAAGTTGTAAGGGACCGAATGAGATATATTTCGTCACCTTAAATAGAATTCAGGCGACA